TCTCTCTCTCTCTCTCTCTCTCTCTCTCTCTCTCTCTCTCTCTCTCTGTGTGTGTGTGTGTGTGTGTGTGTGTGTGTGTGAGTGAGAGAGAGAGAGAGAGAGAGAGAGAGAGAGAGGGAGAGAGAGAGAATGTTTGTTTACCTCAAAAGGGAATTTTTAAAATTTATCTATTACAGAGTCTGCTGGAAGTCACTGTACAGTACAATTCTACCACTGAATTTATCAAAGTTTTAAGGCACAAGAAACCCTAATTTTGTATGTCCAGGTGCCAGTGCCTGAAGATGATACTTGCATCTGCCTGGGTTTATCTCTTTCTTGGGACTTACTCTTCTCACAGCAGGGACATGATTTATTTAGTCTATCAAAGAGCTTTTGATAAGTTTCTCACAAGTGCCTATTATTGAGACTTAGTAACCATGGTATGAAAGGAAAAGTCCTATCAATGAATTAAATGAATTAAAAATGCTTTAGAGACAAAGAGGCAAAAAGTAGAAATGAATGGGTAATTCTCCTGTGGAGAAAGGTTAATCATTAAGGGCTATGAGGCTTGCAGTAGAATCAGAATTGTATTTAACTAATGATCAGAAAAGGGGCACCCAACTCATTCCCATACTCTGTGTGCATTAGCTCCCTACACAGAGCCTCCTGTGACAGAACACCATTTAACACATGGAGGAGATACAGTGTAGAGAAGTGTTTAGAACACAGAAAGGCATACATGGGTAAAGGAATAGCAAGAATTTCACGCAAAGGTCTCAAAATGCAAGACAACAATAATAGAAGTTTTGTTAGGCTGACTTCACTTTCTAAGAACTTCAATTCATATTACATGAAACCACATGGGCATTTGAACAGAACCCTAAGTCACTGGCATGACAAAAGCAAATCTTTACCACTGAATGACAACACCTGTGGACATTTGTAGTCACAATACCTTATACAGACAGAGGTTTAGAAGCAAACAAAGTGAAACTGATATGAAAGAGTGGGAATTATTACTTTTTTTACACAAAGTTAAAAAGTTAGTATATCTTCCAAAAGTGTAACCTGACATAATTGGAAATTTAGAAACCAAACACTCAATTAATATGAATCTTTCATGACTCCTTACTTATTCTGAAAATCTAATAAACTCTTAGTTTTATCTACACATATTTGGTTTCCTTATCTGTAAAAATGGGAATAATAGGATCTAATTAAGGGTTAAATGAAGTGAGGTACAGAGCATTCAACACAGTGAAAATATGTTAAATTCCTGTTGTGCTTGTTCCTAACTGAAGGGGGCATTTCTGATGCTAACTTCCTGTTGCCCAATTAGTTCTTGATTTGTCAGTAAACACGGCCTGGAGCCAATTACTGAGCAGAAGGTACAGGCAGGACTTCCATGTTCCAGGAGGGAAAGGCAGACACAAGGAAGGCGAGAAGAGTTTCTGCCATGCTTTGGAGAAAGAAGAACACAGCAACCATGTGAAGTCTTGGGGGAAGCTGGGGCCTGTGGCCACTACTACACTCAGGTGGCTAGGGATGTTTGACAGGAGCTAGGTGGGACTAGCCACTGAAGTTTAGGGCAGGTAGAGAGACAGAGATAATAAATTGGTAAGGGCAAGCTTTTCCAGGCGGGCGGTATCAGCGCCCAGCAATTGTGTCAAGAAGGCAGGCAAGTTGTAAAGGAACAAACTGTGTGTGTGTGTGTGTGTGTGTGTGTGTGTGTGTGTGTGTTTGACTTTTGTCTGAGGATTCAAGGGAAGCCCCGTGGGGACTGGTAGCTCGGTCCACTTCCTGGAGCAAAGGCGGGTAAAGCAAAAGGAAAGTTGGGTGGGGGCTCCAGAGCACAGTCACTTCCTAGAGCTAAAGGCGGTAGCATAAAACTCCACGAAACAGCTAACAATTTATGATATGCTAAATCCCAACAGTTATACACCACAGAGAAACAACCTAAGTGAACTTACTGTAGCTTTGTTTATACCACTGTTAGAGGTTGGTATTTAATAAAGTATTTAAATACTTTCAAATGTTGTTTAATAACAACAGTTTTAAGATGTCCTTTCATTAATCAGTTTGGTATATGGAAGAGAGTTACAAACTGATATAAAAGGGGAAGGGGGCATGCAAAGTCTCTGACAGGGAGAACCAGATGATTCCTTTAGGTATCAGGTTGAAGCTTACCTTGCCGACAGGATTTTCACAAGCTCTTTTCTATTCTGTACCCGAAGATGGTTTGTTCTATACTTGCAATCATCAATCAATTCAGGCAAATTCAAGATCTAAAAGGGAAAAAAATAGCGTATACTTCACAAGTTCTTCATGTACTCTTAGGTCCTGGTTTACTACAGCAGTCAGGATCTGCTTCCCCACCTTTACCTTGTCTCCATACCTCTCTACAAGGGGAAGGAAGCAGCACCTGAGGGAATCATATTGGTGAATTGCTCTTGTCAATTATACGAGAGTGCCTATATTCATTTATGTAAAACCTACAGTCAACGTATATCTTAGGGACACAGACTGAGTTGTTCCACATGTTAATAAAATGATATTATCTATCCCAGGAGTCCTATTCAGGATATTGTATAAGGTGCTAACATAAAGGGAAAGCTCATGTATTTGTCCAAATTCTAGCTGTTCAAACAACATCAAATTAAAATATCTTCTTCCTGAAGGAGTGTCACTATTTTTCTTTAGTGCGTCTCCCTGAAGGAACACTGACTAGAAATGCTGTCATGCACTTCCTCTTTGGCTGCTCCTTGCTAAAGGGAAAATCCATCTTGCAAACCCCATTGGACATCCTGTAGTTTTAACCAGACCATAATGAAAGTACCAAGTGGATTTGGAAGGGAAAAGACATCTTGAAAGAATGTGTGGAGACAGAGTTTGGCAGTTTTGTTGGAAAGTCAGAATGAGCATTTATGGGCTGGGGGCAAGCCAGGTGCCCTACAGAAAGCCTTACTTCCTTCATTAATGTGTTTGCTTTTGATATAAACACTTAATTGTTTCACTTATTTCCCTGGTTTAAATAAAATCAACCCACTAGTCATCTCACAAAAGAGAGAGAGGTAGAGAAGATTCCCCAGGGTCAAGAGACCACCCCAGCAGCGAAATTCCTTTGCTATCTGTCACCTACTCTCTCTGAAAGCAGTAATATTCTGCAGGATTTTGAAAAGTAGCACTGCATACAGTGTTCTTTCTAGAAACCTCCCAGTCACTGCACCTGATCCCAGAATTGGTCTCAAAACCTGACCTAGTCACAAACCTCCTTCTGAAGAGTAGGTTTTCAAGAACAAGCATGTTCCTCCTTTAAGGAACTGGCCAAATTTGCAAGTCAGGCAGCATATAAAGCATACAACTCCCAGCTACATTAAAAAAAGGAAAAAGACAAAGGTGGCTGTGTTTCTGAGGGTCTTGGATGCCCATGTGACCTCTGCATTTGATGTACGGGGCTTTTTTCTTTTTTTGTCTTTCAAACATCAGTCACCACCCTGAAAGCCCACATCAGCGTTGGTTATGACACCTCTGCTTTGGTTTTATACCTTTGACCATTCTCGTACTTCCCCTGGTCAGGCTCATTATCCTTGAACTTGAGTTTCCTGGTAATAGCATAGAGTCGAACCATGAATTATCTTTTTAAATAAATAATGCCCATTAAGATATCTTAAAAGAAAGTCAGTCATTAAATAACACAAGAAGTCACTATTTTGTAAGAAATTAAGAGTAGACAGAACCAATGTGTGATGCTTAGAGGAAAACTCCTGTGGCTTGACTAATTTACATTCCTAACAGCAGTGAATAAATTACTTTTAATCTGATCTTCACCAACAATTTGTTTTTACATTTTAATAATCATTGAAAATATTGCAGATCTGTACAATGCATTTTAAATACATCAACTCACCTGTCCCTTCGTCTAATTTCCCCTTCACCCCAGTCTGCTGTCTATTTCCCCTTCACCCCAGT